TGCCTAGTCCACTCTTGCACGCTACCTAACGAGCTACATGCTGTCCAGAGGGGGTCTGGTGGCAGCGACCCTTAGAAATTAAGATTAGAGTTAAGTATTTACCCTTAGTATTAGGGACTCCCAATCTGGCAGTATACAGCACCTCACCACCCAGCTTCCTCAGAGAGCTCCTCGCCCTACAGGAACTCAGAGCAAGCTGCTCCTCACCTAGTAACTCCTTAGCACTGCTCTGTACAACAATATATATACAGAAAACGCATCGTGAGTTTCTATTCTACCTCATTCCTGAGTGTGAGATATCTACATGTACGTACGTTTGCGTGGCCATACAAAGAGAAAATAGACATCTAAAGAGAATTGACTACTGGCCACACCACAGTACGCTACACTATCTCCAGGGGCGAGATTAGTACTTCTTCATTCTCATGACTATCTCCAAGGGCGATATTCGTACTTCATCATTCTCACTGTCATACTCAACACTCACATATTTGACAAGTTTTACTAACAATAAAGACAGTTGAAGCTTTCAACATCAGTCACAAGGGATCTTGAATGTTTCATCTGTAATCATACAGATCTAAGTTGACTCAAAAAATGGTGTTCGCACACTCATTCAAATTTACTTTATACAGAGGTTGGTTTCAGGAAGTTAGAGAAAATGGACAGCATCTAAGCTAGAGAAACTGTGTTTCTTCTTAGGGACAACTCACCAGTTATCCACATGTTTTGTGGGCGTGGACTATGACACGAGAACACAAAGTGGGTCAGTTCTGTGTCAAACTGTCTTTCCACAAACACAGGAAGATACACCCTTTAGGCTTGGGTCGGGTCGTGTTGCGTCTCTGTAACAAAGTGTGTTTGGCACTCGGGTCTTCGTTGTTGAGCAGCAGAAATTGGACAGTGATTACAAAAGATCATCAAGATCGTCTTAGTGATGTTAAAGTGTAAATCGATGTAGGATTTTTGATGCTAGATGCGATTGTATTTTTGAAAACTCAATCTCCACCTAGTTGGAGGTACAGCCCAGGTCAAGAGGCATACAACCACAAAATCATTGCCATAAGACAAAACTGTTTTTTATTTTTATACGGAGTTGTGGTCATGGCTGTGATAAAGGCCAACCAGGGAGTGTAGTACTGCGCCTTTAGTTAAATCAGTTCATAGTGTCATCAGTGACTGCGGAAGAGGTTGTAAATAACAAAGTGAATACAAATTGGCAAGCAAGCTGGAAAGGCACCACTGCCAGTTGAAACCAAGTCGTGTTGTAGGTGCCACAGAGACTTTAAATTTTATTTTGTTTGTGTGCTTTCTCATGGACTGAAACTGTGCCTACAATTACACCATTCACAGGGAGATACAATGTACACAAGGATAGCACAAAGAGATATAGTCGTCGATGAGAACAGGAAAAGAAAGTATAAGGAAATACTAGTTAAAATAAAAAATAAATAAAATCAACAAGCTTGGCTATCCTTAAAGGCATTCTATTACTGCCCTAAAGAAAGATGTATTTTATTTTTCTGTGTTTCTAAAGGACTGAGTGGGCATATAAAATCCGTTATTCATAGCAAAATGCAGTGTACCTAGAGATAGTGTAGTGGAGGCCTTATACTGCCAGATTGGGGTCACTAATCCTAAGGGGGAATACTTAAATCTAATCTTAATTTCTAAGGGTCGCTGCCACCAGACCCCCTCTGGACAGCATTGGGTTAGGCTTTTCATTGACCAGATCGATAAGGGGAAAGAAGGGTGAAACCACAACCTGTCTTAGTCCTTTCAAATGTTCCTTCTACTCACTTCAGTTCATTTTTGGTACTACCTAACCACAGTTCTTCTTGGTAGCATGTCGATGGTCTAGGCACATGGGTAGTGTAATTCTCATATATCAGGGTCACTTGGACGGAAATAAAGGTAACTACTGTGGGAGAAATGAATACTCCTAAAATTCTCAAAGAACAAGTTTATTAATATAAAATCAAAGGGGAAAATAGATGTTATTAACATATAACTACCAGGCTCAACTCCAGGGCCTATTGCAGACTCTGTATTCCTTATTTACTTACTTTCTTATTTACTCAACAGCAATTACTCAGATATTACACTCTTACCGTGCACACAATAACTGGTGTCACCTTACATTACATCGCAGGACCAGTTCCTTGTCCTTACTCCCAATACACTAATACTGATACACACACCGACATGGGTCCACCACCCAACATGGGGTAATTATTAACAAACACATACAACCACACTGTGGACCTGGACCATAACTCCAAGGCCTGTCCCAGGGTATAGCACTGGCGCCTCTAACAACTACTGTTGTGGTCTGTTACACTCCAACACGAGGTGGGTCTGGGGTCCTTGGCCCACGAGGTAGAGTGGAGCTGATAAATCATGCCGAATCAGCACCATCACTCCTATATTGACCACTGCTGGGTATCCACCGGCTCCGAGCGACCGGTGGGTTTCAATTAAGCCCACCCTCGATCTGGGAACGAAGGTGAAAGATGATATGGGAGGTTTTTTGGGGAAGCATGGTGGGTCACAAACAAATCTTCAGTCTCGCCACGTCAGATATTTACATTATATTACTTCGTACACTGGTTGAATGACAATTCCACTGTTAAAGCATGAACACTGATATTCACTACAATAGACTGAATCAAACTGAATGCTGATAAACACAGAACATACCTGGTAACGAAGGTGAAAGATGATATGGGAGGTTTATTCCTCCCGCCTCGCACTGGTTTATATACCCCTGAGTTGCCAGCGATCGCTACTCACGCAATGACAGAAATTACAAACAATCTAAGGATGACCTTCAGTTGACAAAGGTTTGGCGAATTACTAAAGTTGATTTACACAGACTAATTCAAGGTTGTGTTTGCCAGTAGAGAGTGCAATAAACGTAGTGACAACTGTGTTCGAAGGCGGGACTTACTGGGAGTGATCCTGAGGGTAAAACAGATGGGAAAAACACGTCTCTCCTGAGATTCTACAAGCGCGGTGGATTTGAATGTTATGTAGCGTAATATGAATTAAAATGGGTTTTTAGGAATGACAATGATGTGCGCAGTACAGCCTCCCCTACAAACGCCACGTGTCGCTGACTGGCCGACCCCTGCGAATTGCTGGCGTATCCCTCGTGGTCAAGATCAGGTAACCAGTGACGCCGAACAAAGCGGGGGCCTTCCATCAAGCCACGCCTACCGCGGTTATATAAGACCTTGTTGTGGATTTCCCCTCTACAAACGCTGTTTGTCGCTGAGTAGCCGACCCCGCGAATTCCCCAGTGTATGCCTCGTGGTCTGGGTCAACCAGCGCCGCCATACATCACGGAGGTCAACTACTAAGCCACGCCTAACCCCGCTATTTAAGACCTGACCTCGTGGTGACAACTCTCTTCTTCTAGCTACAGCCGCAGCAAGCAACACCTCCTCCTCCACCGCTGCCTGGCGTCCCTCGCTCCCGCCGGCGAGCATGGCGACCCACAAGCTGTCCTCCTCTGACCATCCTCACCAACCAGCTCTCTCTACATCACGCTTGTAACCACGCTGCCACTTCCCAGCACCAAACTGCATTGTACATCCAATACAACATGTATACAGAGAGCACATTGTGAGTTTCCTTTCTCCATCCCATCCTGAGTGTGAACCCAAACAAACGTACCCCACAACCTCACCTGGCCTTCATCGCTCTCTTTCTACTTACCGCCACCAACAAGCAACATCCCTCAACAGCTCCATACACACGCTCCCTCAGAAAGCTCTTCGCCCTACAGGAACTCTGAGCAAGCTTCGCCCGACTTAGTATCTCTTTAACACTGTGCTGTGCAACAATATATATACGAGAAACACTGTGATTTTCTATTTCTATCTCAATCCTGAGTGTTGCATATATTTCATGTACGTACGTTGTGAGGCCAAATAAGAGACCCTGACAACCTGCCACGACAGTACGCTACAAATGGTGACCCCTGGAGCCGTGAACACTACACTCCTTTCTGCTGCCTGACTCCTGGAGCTAAGAAGATCGTCCTGCCTGCTGCCAGCATAGGCCAACTGCCTTACCCGCACCACGTGCTACCCCACTCCTCCACGACGACACCACCTGCACCACGTGCTACCCCACTACGACACGACACCAACGGCACCACGTGCTACCCCCACTATGACACCATCTCACGACCGTGTGATACACTTCCGCAAGAATGGACGGACGGATCTCTCAACCGACTTTCAACCACAACGTCAAGGACTGGTCAGATCATGTGGAAGCAATCCTCATCGGCTCACAAGCTACTGACAAGGAAAAGTACGGCGCCTTGCTCTCTTCCTTGCCCACGGAAGTCGCCACGCATGTATCACGGACTATTTCAAACCCTCCAGAGAACAACAAATTCGCCACCCTGCGGGACGCCTTAAAAACGCATTACCGACGGACCCGCCCCAGTCTCCTGCAGAACATATCTTCTATCTCCCTTGGAAACTCAACTCCGGGACTTCTCTGGGAAGAGATGTGTAGGCTGAACTCCCGGCACACAGACAGACTTCCCGACTCTATCCTGCACCAGCTTCACGCACAAAAGCTACCCACACAAGTACGTACCATCCTGTCTGCAGATTACTCGACGACACCTGAACTCTACGCAACCGCGGCAGACAAAATATTTAACGAGTGCGCGGCTGCGTGCCTGGCGGCCACGGACAACCCCACGCCCACAGCAGTACTTACCTCCGAACTTGTAAGCCGGGTCAACACCCCTCAGCCAAGCAGTACCTCACAAGACGTCAGGGACCTGCTGTAAACCTTGAGCCGCAGTATGAACACCATTGAACAGTTCTGCTCCTCCATGCCTGCCTCTAGACCTGTTCCTAACCCACACACCGCGCCCTACAATCCCCGACGCGCCCTTCCTGCCCCGGAAACCGCCGCCAGCCCCCAGCACAACGAATATACCCTCTGCTGGTATCACCGGCGTTTTGGCCCCAATGCTCAACGCTGTGAGCCCCACTGCACCTACTCGGGAAACGGCAACAGCAGAGGTTGGTAGACGCCCCAGCCCCCGTCCCTTCAGGCATCTCACTACTGCACGTCACCGATCGCACCTCCGGCACGAAATTCCTAGTCGACACAGGTTCATCGGTCAGTATCATCCCTCCCTCACGACAAGACACGTCAAGGCAACCCTCTTATGACCTGTTCGCCGCCAACGGTACTCCCATCGCCTCCTACGGCGCACGCACCCTCGCCCTAGACCTCGGTTTCCCAAGACTCTACGCTGGTCATTTGTAGTTGCAGACATGTCTCAACCCATCCTTGGTTTCGACTTCCTCACCTTTCACAAGCTCGGAGTCGACCCAAGCCACCTTCGCCTCATCCATGAGCCTACAGCACGCAAGATCCAGGGTTCACATGCCAATGACACCGACACTATCACCTGTCTTTCGCCGTCCAATGAGTTCTCCCCCCTGCTTGAAGAGTTCAAGGAACTTTTCTCACCCCGAGTCTCTCCACCGCCACCACCTACGTCGGAAATTTTTCACCACATCGAGACCAAAGGACCTCCAGTCTTCTCGCGCCCCCGCCACCTGCGCCCTGAGCTCCTGAACGCAGCCAAGGCGGAATTCAACAGACTACTGCAAGACGGCATCATTCGTCCTTCAAAGAGTCCCTGGGCATTGCCTCTTCACATGGTCCTTAAGCCATCATCTGGCGATTGGAGGGTGTGTGGCGACTACAGAGCCCTGAACCTCGTTACCAAACCCGACAGGTACCCTATTCCACATGTCCAGGACTTCCACCACAAACTTCATGGCAAGACAATCTTCTCGAAGATCGACTTGGAGCGTGCCTTCCACCAGATCCCTGTAGCACCTGCAGATACCCAGAAGACAGCCATCACCACTCCATTCGGACTCTTCGAGTATACTTTCATGAGTTTTGGCCTACTCAATGCAGCACAGACTTTCTAGAGGTACATGGACCATATGCTTCGCTTGACCTCGATTTTGTCACCGTCTACATAGACGACATCCTCGTCGGATCTTCGACGCCTGCCGAGCATCATCACCACCTGCAACTCTTCCTCCAACGCCTGCAGAACAACAACATGAAAGTTCACCCTGTTAAGTGCGTCTTCGGAGCCCCATCCATTGATTTCCTCGGTCACAAAGTTTCGCATAGTGGCATCCAACCCCTACAACAGAAGATAACCGCCATCAGGGAGTTCCCCAAACCTGAAACGGCGAAGAAACTCCCGAGAATTCCTGGGTTTAGTTAACTACTACCACCGCTTCATTGACAACGCTGCCACCGTCCTAGTTCCCCTCTACGACCTTCTCAAAGGACTCCCAAAGAAGTCTCACAAGCCTCTCATGTGGACTCAAGAGGCTGTTACGGCATTCACTGCTATCAGACAGCACATCACACGCCTTACCCTCCTAGCCCACCCTGCACCTAAGCACCCGGACCACTCTCACAACAGACGCTTCTTCTACTGCAGTGGGCGCCGTCTTACAGCAGGAGATCAACGGAATTCTCACACCCGTTGCTTTCTTCTCACAACGGCTTCAACCACCACACCTCAAGTACAGCGCCTTTGATCGAGAACTCCTGGCCATATACCTGGCTGTCAAACATTTCCAGCACTTCCTCGAGGCCCGTCAGTTCACCATCTTCACTGATCACAAGCCCCTCGTCCACACCTTCGCTTCAGCTTCCCAGTCACATACACCTCGTGTCCTGCGCCACTTGGCTTACATCTCGGAGTTCTCCAGCGACGTCCAACACATTAAAGGCAGCCACAACGAGATCGCCGACGCCCTATCTCTCGTTGTATGTCCAACATTCTCCCCTCATCTCCACCCATTGATTATGGGCAACTTGCCGCGGCTCAAGAGAATGACGAAGACCTGGCAGCATACAAGACATCTCCGTCAGGCCTCACACTCCAAGAACTCCCAATCCCCGGCACGAATATCAAATTGTGGTGCGACGTATCCTGTGGGCAGCCTAGACCGTTCGTGCCTCACGTCCACCGCCGCGCTGTTTTCGACCGCATCCATGGTCTCAGCCACCCGGGTGTGCGGGCCTCCCAGCGCCTCCTCACGCAACGTGTCGTCTGGCCCGGCATCAAGACCGATACTACGAAATGGGCTGCCCAGTGCCTGGCCTGTCAGTCCTCCAAAATACATCATCACACACGGGCCCCTTTAGAAACCTTCCCTATACCCAAAGGACTTTTCCAAGTAGTGCACCTCGACATCGTGGGAGCTCTTCCATCATCCTGTGGTAGCACCTACATCTTCACCTGCATCGACCGTTTCACCAGGTGGACAGAAGCCATCCCCATGCCCAATGCTACAGCAGAGTCTACCATCCGCGCCTTCATGTCCGGCTGGGTTTCCCGCTTCGGTCCCCCCGCTACTGTCATCACTGACCAAGGAGCCCAGTTTGAGTCACAACTCTGGCACAGCCTCCTACAGTTCCTCGGCACGACTAGGCAACGCACCACCGCACACCACCCTCAAGCCAACGGCATGGTAGAGCGGTTTCACCGGCAGCTGAAGGATGCACTCAAGGCACAGCACGACCCTTACAGCTGGACGGATGCGCTACCCTTAGTGCTCCTCGGCATCCGTGTTTCATACAAGGAGGATATGGACTGTAGCCCAGCAGATCTCACCCGAGGCGAGCCCCTTCGCCTACCCGGAGATTTTTCACTCCCTCCTGACCTCCGCCAACCCACTCCTGCCGTTCGTCACGACTTACTCCAAAAACTGCGACAAGCAGTTTCTGCATTCAGAGCCACTGCTCCACGCCAGCCTCCTCGGCGTCCTGAACACATCCCTCCTGCACTACTCACTGCCGAATATGTTTTCGTCAGGCATGATGCTCACCGCAACCCACTACAAAGCCCCTACGATGGACCCTTCCAGGTTGTTTCCCGTTCAGCGAAGTTCCTGACAATTATCCGGAATGGCAGACACGACAACGTCAGCATAGACCGAGTCAAACCGGTCACCTTACCCGTTGAGCCCCCGACCCAGCAGCACCACCAACAAACGACGCCTGCACCAGTCTACCCGCAGTTGCCACCGGCAGCAACACCCCGCCCAATACATTTTTGGGCACCCTCTTTTCACCCTCAGGTGCCCCCTGCTCCTGTCCTGGACCCTGCTGCCATGGTAGAACCTGCTCCTATCACAGACCCTCCTCCTGTCGTGAACCCTGCTGCCGTCATAGAACCTGCTCCTGTTATAGAACCTGCTCATGTCATGGACCCTCCTCCTGACGTCGCCCCTGACCCATTCAACCCAGCCAGTGGCCCTGAGGAAGCTGCCCCAGCCGCTATAGAAGCACAACAACAATTGCCTGTACAACCTCCTCTAATCCAAAACCCTCTTTCTCCCCCTGATTCCCCCACAGGTTCTGTGTCATTAGATGGAGTTGTCACCCGCAGCGGCCGAGTGGTACGTACACCTACCCGGTATGTATCACGTGAGGGACGTAACCCGGCTAACATCCCAGTCGCGCCTCCCCTGCAAACGCCGTGTGTCGCTGACTGGCCAACCCCCGCAAATCTGCCAGTGTATCCCTCGTGGTCAAGGTCAGGTAACCAGCGACGCCGAACAAAGCGGGGGCCTTCCATCACGCCACGCCTACCGTGGTTATATAAGACCTCACCTGGCCTTCATCGCTCTCTTTCTACTTACCGCCACCAACAAGCAACATCTCTCAACAGCTCCATACACACGCTCCCTCAGAAAGCTCCTCGCCCTACAGGAACTCTGAGCAAGCTTCGCCCGACTTAGTATCTCTTTAACACTGTGCTGTGCAACAATATATATACGAGAAACACTGTGATTTTCTATTTCTACCTCAATCCTGAGTGTTGGATATATTTCATGTACGTACGTTGTGAGGCCAAATAAGAGACCCTGACAACCTGCCACTACAGTAAGCTACAATAGCACATAAATACTGACAAACCGCCAAAGTGAACTAAAAAAAATAAAAAGAAGAGAAGAAAAACAGAAGACATCCCTAAAGGCAACAGGGGAGGTTAAATTCAGCAGAGGGCAGCCAAGTACTGTTTTTTTTTTTTTTTTTTAGCTGTAGATCTAAACACAGTCTGCACCCCCCGTCCCCATAACAACAACAACCATGCGGGATATGATGACATGTGACAACTGCGGGGGATGACGGATATGGATGATACAGGCCTGAACAATGCAGTGTTTAGGAAGATGCTAACTGCCGTAAAGGAAGAAGGCTGTTGCTGGTGTTGTCCTGACTGCATAGTCAAGGTGAAAGAGGCAATTGCAAGTCATAAGGGAACGAGTTCCCTAGGGACGAAAATAGATGAAGCTGGAGCCCTGCTGGTTGCCAAATTAGAGCAAGTTGGGGAAGAGATCCTTGCTGAGACTGAGGAAGTAGCCGATAGAATGGAGGTGGTTGCTAAAAGGAGTAATGCTGAGGCCTTAACAGGGCCGCGGGGGGTGGCGGAGAGTACAGGTAATGCAGGATCAGAACAGGTTCTACAGCAGCTAGGGACTCTAAAGAAGTGTGTCAAAGAAATGAAAATTAATGGACCTGTAGTGGATACTCTCCCCTACAACTACAACTGCCGTTTGTCGCTGACCAGCCGATCCCTTGTCGAGTTTCCCAGCCAAGGCCTCGTGGTCTTACAGAGCGGGGTCGGCTACTAGCGACGTCTAACAAAGCGAGGTCGGCTATCAAGCCACATCTACCTCCGCTATATAAGCTCTCAACCTCGCCGTGATCTCCCTTCTTCTACCTGAGCCCCGCAACACGCAACACCTCCTCTGAGCAAGCTCCTCACCAACCAGCTCTCTCTACTCTACGCTTCTAACCACGCAGCAACTTCCCAGCACCAAACTGCACTGTACATCCAATACAATATATATATATACACAGAAAACGCACTGTGAGTTTCTTTTCTCCAACCCAACCAGAGTGCGAGACAACATCACGAAACCCCACAAATGGTGACCCCTGGAGAATCGCACACACAGGATGGAGGAGAAACGGATCACTCTCCCAGTGTTCAATCACAACATTGAAGACTGGCTTATCCACACGGAGGCAGCTCTCATCGGCTCTATAGCTTCAGACAAACAAAAGTACATCGCCCTGGTCTGTTCCCTGCCCACAGAAGTCGCCACACAAGTCTCAGAAACCATCACCAACCCTCCAGCTGATAACAAATTCGCAGCTCTACATGATGCTCTCAAGAGGCCATACCAGCGGCCTGACACCAGTCTCCTACAAGACCTATCCTGTCTCGCCCTCAGCAGCTCCACGCTTGCACGTTTGTGGGACGAGATGCGGAGACTGAACTCCCGCCACACACACATAGGCTTCCTGACACTATGCTGCGCCAGCTTCACACTTAGAAGCTCCCTGCAGAAGTTCGTCTTGTCCTCTCAGTATTGGACTATTCTACTACCTCAGCGACCTATGCAGCCACGGCGGACAGAGTATTCCACGAATATACTGCTGTGCGCCATGCGTCCGCGCACAACTCCACGGCCACACTTTCACTTTCCTCCGGTCTCGTCAACCAGATCAGCGCTCCCCAGACGACCAGCACCTCACAAGACATGTGGGACCTGCTACTGTCCCTACACCGCAGGTTGGACACCCTAGAGCAGCTCTGCTCCTCCAGGCCTGCAGCTGCTCCTGTTCCTGCCCCACGCACTGTGTCCTACCGTTCCCAACACCCGTCCTGCCTCAGATGCCGCCCCCCAGCACAGTGTATCTACCTTCTGTTGGTACCATCAATGTTTTGGTGCTAACGCTAGACGCTGTGAGGCTCCCTGCAACCACACGACGAAGCGACATCGACGGAGATTGGTAAACGCCATAACCGCCGTCACTATCAAGCAGCACATCACACACCTTACTGCTGACCTTGACCACTTCACTCCTGCTGCCCATCACGACCTACTACAAACACTACGACATGCAGTTTCTGCATTCAAGGCTACTGCCCCACACCAGCCTTCCCATCGCCCTGAACACATTCATCCTTCACCTCCTCCGCCAGTCTGCCCACCATTGCCGCTTGCAGCACCACCTCGCCCACAACATTTCTGGGTACCCTCTTTTCATCCTCAGGTACCTACTGCTCCTGACGTGGACCCTGCTCCTGATGATCCTGCAGCCGGCCCTATGGACCCAGACACCCCACCCGGCACCCCTGCGCACTGTGCACCTGCCGTGAGAGAAGCACCACATTCCTCGCCTCTACAACCTTCTCTTATCCACAACCCTCCTTCTCCCACAGATCTCGTGTCTCTAGACAGAGCCATCTCCCGTAGCGGCCGGCTAATCCACACCCCTGCCCGTTATGTCTCACATGTGGGATACAACCCTGCCGACAACAAATCTCCTGCACCGCCAGAAGGGAAGGGGGATGTATTGCAGTGGATACTCTCTCCTACAACTACAACTGCCGTTTGTCGCTGACCAACTGATCCCTTGTCGAGTTTCCCAGCCAAGGCCTCGTGGTCTTACAGAGCGGGGTCGGCTACTAGCGACGTCTAACAAAGCGAGGTCGGCTATCAAGCCATGCCTACCTCCGCTATATAAGCTCTCAACCTCGCCGTGATCTCCCTTCTTCTACCTGAGTCCCGCAACACCTCCTCTGAGCAAGCTCCTCACCAACCAGCTCTCTCTACTCTACGCTTCTAACCACGCAGCAACTTCCCAGCACCAAACTGCACTGTACATCCAATACAATATATATACAGAAAACGCATTGTGAGTTTCCTTTCTCCATTGATTTTTTTTTATTTTTGCCGCTTGCAGCAGCTACTTTATTGTGCACCCCACACTCATCCTGTGAGCGGTAGCGCAAAAGGATTACAGAGTAGGGTTTACAAAGGGTCATAATAATTAACCCCCGTTGTCAGGATATTATGGCACTGAATGTTACACAGTATTTCATTTACATTATTTGTTTAGTTCTATACATAAAGGGCAACTTATTCACAAATGCGTGAGTACAGGCGTGTGAGGCAGTATGTCTGGCCTCACACTTTGTTATTCACATTTACGTGAGAGGTATTCAAGCACATTGCGTATTTGGTTCTGTACATGAGAATTGATATAGTTACTAAGTGCAAAAAAGTGGATACAATCTTAATACAGTATGTCGGCTATCTTGCCATTAGAGATGAAGTGTTGTGCCATTTCACACACAGTGCGCTTGGACCTGTCCCTAAAAGGTTCTAACTTCACACAGTCGAGGACGTAGTGTTCAAGTGTGTGGCCATATGTATGGCCACACACGTTACATTTAGTTTTGTTTACATCTGCTTGAGGAACATACTGCCAAAGGTACTTATATCCTAACCTTAATCTAGCGGTTACAACATCTTGTAATCTAGTGATCTTGTTACTTGCTCCATATACATGTTTCACTTGATACATCTCATCATGGTAACCTATGGATCGACTAGTGCCTGTTTGCACTTGTCTACTTGCGTCAAACTCATCAATAAGTTCTTTCCTAATTACAGTTTTAAGGGTTCTTTTTGACAGACCCAAATTGTATTCAACGGTGTCTTTGTTAGACGCGAGTTTGGCGAGGGCATCAACTCTGTCATGTTTTATGAGGCCTATGTGAGAGGGGATCCACAACAGTTTGACCTTGACACCCCGGTCAACAAGGCACGCATATTTGTGTCTGGCTTCAGAGACAAGAGCGTGACAACCTGAGTCGAGGGTACCAAGGGCAAGTAGTGAGGATAGAGAGTCAGTGATGATGAGACTGTCAGTAACAGTGGTTTCAATGAATTTAATAGCTGTGAGTATGGCAACTAATTCAGTTTGTAGAGTGGATGCCCAGTTGTTAATTCTAACTCCTTTCTCAATTATATTACCGTCAGGTTGAGTCACAACAATAGCACTTCCAGCCCTCCCACAGGCGGTGTTTAGAGATCCATCAGTGTAGATGGTCTGTGTGATATTATCATCAGTCTGTAGAGTGTGTATGTGTTCAAGAGCTCTCAATTTGGCAGTGTGTTGGAGATAAATGCTTTGTATAACGAAAACCCACAGACCTACTGTTAGGGGAGAGGAGGAACAACGGGAACGTTTCCAGTGCAGGAACTATGTAATAGTTTTGGGAGTCCCTGAGAGCCTGGTGGAGGGAACTGAGAGTAAGGTAACACACGATAAGATGCAATTTAAGAATATTTATACAGAGGTTCTGAAGATGCCATCAACCCCACAAGATGTGAGGAGGCTGGGACAAAAGCAGGAGGATAAGCCTCGCCCCCTCAGGATCACACTAGTGAGTGAGGAGATATGGGAGGTTATTCGGCAAGCAAAAGACTTAGCAAGGAGCGAGGCATCTCGGAGTGTATTCATTCACCCAGATCGCACGGTAATGCAGAGGGAACAGCACAAGAAGCTCCTGCAGGACTTAAAGCAGGAGGAGTCAAGGAGGAACACGGA